TCAATTCAAAGGCAATTCAATAGAAATGCCACTCGAATCGAAGGAATGTTCACATATGTTGCTTAAATCATTCAATAATCGAGTCTTGGGGCAGACTTTAAGCTCAGAGTGTGTGTGTGTGGGCAATATTCATGAACTTGGTTAACTCGGCTGTGGCTAGCTGGCAATTTGTGAATTGAATCGAGCCCGGCTATTAGGGGCTGGTTGTTGCAGCTGATTTGTTTTGCCTAGCTGTGGCATTGACAATGCGGAAAGCGGAAAGCATAAATAACATGAATAATGCACGAACTTTAATATTCATTCAATTAAAATGCTCGAAAGCAAACAGCAGCTCAAATGCAAATCACTTGGTTTGCCGCACTCGGAGCTGAATATTTAATTTCATCTTTAGTACAGCGTGAGTCCCAAGCAAATTAGTTCTGCAAATCTACAGCTGACCATAGTAATCCAAATAGAAGCAGCTGTTGCCAGTCCACAAATATTTCTCGCTCTCTTCAACTTGACCAAATGCATATTTCGCTTGGTCTCTGGGCTCTGTCCGTCCTGACTGACAGGTGTTCACTGAATAGAGGCAGCCAGCTGTCATTCCCGACCCGTTTCATTGAATATGTCACTCAAACTGCAATTTTATTCAATTCAATTCAATTCACCAACCAACAACAACAACGACAACAACTAGAGATAAATTGCAGTCGCACTCATGCAAGGATGCTGCACTGCGTGTATTCCGCTTGGTTAGAGCTAATGAAGTGACATTAAGCTGGAATTGCTACCCTAATAGCATATTCAACGCAGCTGAATCAAATAGTTGTGCTATGTATCTATATATTATCAATATATTATGTGGATAGTGTTTGCCACAAAATTAATCACCCGAAAACAAACTTAAACGACGTTTGTTGTGAGTGCAAAAGTGTTTATTGAATTCATTTGAATATATTACATGTAGTCCCGAATTTATAATTCTGAATTGGTTAAGTCGTGGTGATTAAGGGAAAGAGAGAATAATTAATCGAAAATGCTTCTCTCATTCATTATTACCCCGTTCTTGCGGAGTAAACCGATTCCTGGCACTTCGATTTGTATTCTCCCTTTTAATATTTGAAATAAAGAGAAAGTATCTTTAGAGTTTCCTTGGGGTATAGTAAAGCATATCTTAGATAACAGCTTCTTCATTCCCCTTTACTTTTCATTTTCAATATTTTCCTGCTGATTACAAGAAGTTGAATCACAGCAATCACAGCATTTTGAAGCTGTTCAAGTTGAATAATTGTATTTCTCAATACTCAGTTCATTATATTAATACTCCATTAATTATAATAAACACACAAGTATGTACATTCTAATTGTTACACATGTAACATTTATAGCTAACGTAAGTATTTAGACAAGTAGAATGATCTAAAATGCAATTTCGATGCAAGCATTCATGCATTCCGAGTATTATGTATATCTATTCCATCAGCTTTTATCGTTCTCTCTTCGAGCTGAATGTAATATTAAGTATACGCATCCATTGCTCTGCGTGCTCTGTGCTTGGCTACGATTTGGTTGCAGCAGCAGCTAGTCGTTCGCCTCAGAGTGGAATGCTTACGAATCTGTATATAAATAAGTTTGTATTGATTTTTCAGTATTCATGTTTCATACATATTTCAATTTAATAATAAATATTCACGGCAGGTGCCCAGGTCCCAGTGGCAGTGCCGTCCCTGGCCAGTGTTGGCCAATAACTGAATTAGTTGTGGCTTTAATCCAATTGATACAATAATCTAATCATGCAAAAAACTGCATTTAATTGCGAGAGTTGGCCAACTCGCAAACAGAATCAATTTCATTTCGATGCTGCTGAAATTTACACCAGCTGCAATGGGGTCGTCCGGCTCAAGGCCTTCGATGTATTTAGCGGGATCTCTTTGCTCTGGCAATGGCATAATCAGCAAACAGGGTATCTATCGAGTGGCTAGCCCCGGCTTTTCTCTCGTTTTTCATTTATTTATTTTGTTTTTTACAAAACTTTGCCCGATACACACAAACAACATACAGATTTCCAGGTAGCTAAAAATGTCAGCCATTTTGTTTTAGTTGGTGGCATTGGCCACGGCTACATGTTGACAGCACCAGCCACGCCCACCAGCCGCCCCATCCCCCAACCACTACAGCTGAGGGCGCCCAAACGCTTTGCAGCAGCTCGCAAAAAAATATTTAAAATTTATTTATAGTCAAATACGGTAGACTGCACCTGTTGTTGTTGTTGCTGCTGATGCTGCTGCTGCTGCTGTTGCTGCTGCGGGTGGTTGCTGCTTTGTTATTATTGTATTGCCTCTGCCTTGTCAACACTGTGTGCGTGTGTGTGTCTGTCTGGGTGTGTGTGTGTGTGTGTGTGTATGGATGTGCGTGTTTGTGTATTGACAACAAATGTTTGCTGTTGTTGCCGTAGCTGGGGTGTAAAAATGATTGAGTGTTTGAACTCAACTTCTGTGTGGCTCTCCGCGTGCAGAGCAGCAACGCGACCTGCCTATACCCTGTAGGCGGTAGATCAAAGGCAAAGGCGTCGCATATCGCATCACCCGCATTGATTGATAAGCAATATTCACTTGAGTGGGCAATGGGACACTTAAGGATACCCTAGCGATTGCAGCCTCAACCTTGAGAGCTTTCTTGAGTGGAGTTTGTGTGTGTGCGGGGTATTCGCAATTCGATCAGCTGCTGTGCTGGAGCTGAGCTCGATCTTTGGCAACGTTTTAAATTGTGTTTAAGTCACCTGCTTCCCGGTAAATTTCGCTTTTATTTTTTTGCAGCCGCTGCTTCTGCTGCGACACAGGAAAATTACCAGCGCGCAGCGAGACGTTGGCCTAACCGAAAGGCGTCGACACTGTCAACAGTCGCCGTAGCAGCTGCTACAGCCTTTACCGTTGCCAGTGAAACTGGTAGTACCTTTACCTTTGCCTTTGCCTTTGCCTTGGAGCCAGTTTGTTTGTATGCACTTCAATAAAAATTTAGCATACGCTTCAATTCACTTCACTTGCCACACGCACTCACTGCGACACACACACACACATATATATATATATGTATGTATATACACGAAACGCGCACCTGCAACACCCTCTGGCGGCAGCCGTATGAAAACATTGCTTTGTATTATTACGTCTGGCATTTTTCGATTATATGTTGCCTTCGCTTTTGGGTCTCGTTTTTCAATCTAAATGTCAGCACATCTAAGCACGTGCGTGTATCCAAACGGCAGCCACTGTATGCTGTGTGTGTGTGAGTGTGGGTGGGTGCGTGTGTTGAGGCAAATTACTCGAGTGAAGTGCGCACTTCAAGATGAAATAGTCAAGCAACTGACACGCAAACAACTCACTTTACATCCCTTATACTCATCAATTAAACTGTGTGTGTATGTGTGTGTATATATATCTACTTATTTATACATTTGTGTTTTGCTACCTAATTTGTCAGACACAACTTCTGCAGGACGCAGCGTCTCCTGTTCCTGCTCCTGCTTGCTCGCCAAATGCTGCAACGCAGCAGGAGAAACAAAAATAATATCATTAAAAACATCGCAAATAAAAACTGGAAGCTGAAAATTAAGCCAAGCAACAACAATTGTGGGCGTGGGGCGTGTCACAAGCAGCAAATTTCAAAGAAAAATGCAAAGGCGCTAAACGTTTGCCTCAGTCATCAACTTGAAATTATTTTCCTTCCTTATTCATTTGCAGCTGTCGCCGAATTCTGGCCTGCTTGCTGCATACACTCACGCACAAAAGTACGCGCACAGCGCTCACTAAGTACCCAAATTGAAGCAGCCAAAGCAAATATGTGGACAGGGCGAAAGTCCTGCCGGCTTAAAGGATATTCACGCAGCCGCTGACTTTGTCCGGCCTTCAACTTTAAACAACATCTAATTCAATTTAACTTGTTGGATTTGGCCAACATGGCGGACGTGTTGCTACGCTGCCAAGCATTCCCTTCCGCCCCTTCCCACGCTCAAGCATCCGTCTTGAACAATTGCTCGGACAACGCGTCTAATTGCGGCTGACCGACTTCCAGCACAACTTCAAAGCTCTCAGACATGAGCAATTACTTGAGGATGCCTCTCAATCATGTGCACAAATTCCACTCGAAATATACAGTTTGAAACATGAGAGTTGTGTTCCTCATGGAGGATAGGCAATTTGACATGTTCTATGGCTAAAGAGTTAACAACCATCTATTATAAATACATATATGTTATATATTGTCCATTGAGGGCGTATCTAATTGGCTCCAAGTGTGAGCTAAGAAAGTGATGAAGGATATATGTATGAATATCGAGCTTGGAATGGCGCATTATTCTCGGAACTAGATTTCAATCATGTTCGCAATACGCCCAGCTTTAAAGCATTGAAAAATACAGTTTCATTTGCCACGACAAATGGAAGCTTGAGACCAGGGCAGCGATCTATCGATAACTTACAGGGCAACAGAACAAATGAAATGATACCTCATAAAACCATTTTGACGTACATATGTATATCGATTTATTTATTTTTGGTTTTTTATTATGTTTTTGTTTTTCTTTTTTTTTTTTCTGTTGGGTAGTCACTGCAAATCAGTAGGAGCCAGATATGGTGTTTTTCTTTCGCCATGCCCCTAGCTCGCGAAAGTTTTGGTACTCAGATACCAGGGGATATATCTATTTCCGTAAATTTTACGTTCGGAACATATACCAAATGTGAACCAATATACTCATTTCATGTACTAAATGAGTATAAGTAGTATTGCAGTTGGATCAGTGTTGAATTTTCCAAGCAGATTCCAAGGTCCGTCTAGCGATACTTGAGAAAGTTGAATTGCTTATGAAGGTCCGACTACAATGCTTCCGTTTCATTTTCAAAATGTGTGTACATTTTTTACAAGATACCAATCTGGCATTCCTCTATACATCACTCAATATTGTATATTTACTTTCTTTGAATTGGATAATGTACATAGTTTTTCTTTCTCATTGCAGCTACAAAGCACATATTAACATACATAAGTGATTGTGTAAGTATCTCTCTGGTAGAACTTCGTGAAACGTGACACCTACACACACTCATTTCATTCACATATACTCAAGCACACACACACATGTTTGTGTGTTTATACTTATACATACATGTATCTAGATACTCGAAGACATTTGATTGATGATGTTGACAACAAATTTGCGGCAGCTCGCTGCTCCTCATCGAATGTGAAAAACTGTTCATGTGGAATATTTTTAAACGTTCGACTGATAAATATTACAAAATCCCATTAAATTAATTGCCATAGTACATATGTATGTGTACATATATGTATGACTGTATTTGCCCTTTATAGCCAGCATAAAGTGCAGAGTGTTTTTAAATGTTGAATGAGCCACAGCAGTCCTAGGAGGGGAATAACTTTTTGTGAGTCACTCTGTCCTTGGGGCAGTCTTATAGAAGGGCCAAAGTATTTAGTACACATAGCCAAAAATCGTGATAAATCAGTGAAACTTAGTTAATATGTTCCTTATACACATTACTTGAGGAGACTGAGAAGAAGTGAATTAAATATATTCTTCGCGATTGCAAAAATGGGTTTGGAAAACTTTTGTATTTGCGGCCCTTAGGTTAGGTGCTGAGGTGAAAAGATAACAAGTCAGACTCAACTAAGAGATGCACTAAGCGCTACTCTATAAATGTTGTTGACATATACACGCCTCCTGCCCCTACTTAGCCCATTTGGATTGAATTGAGACTCGGTAAAAGACAGGTGAGACTTTCTGTCGTTTTCTGATCTACATTCCCACTTATGATGCCATCATACCCCATTTAAGGCCTTCTGCAATGGGTGCTGGATATGAAAACTTCACAAATCGAAATGAAACGCAACGGAACAAAGGCAAACAAAGCGGGACAAAGCCAAATAGACGGATTTCAAGTAACTACATTTGTTTCATTGCCCGCGGGCGAAGCCCATTAAAAATTCAACAGCAAAGAACAAAAAGTTTTCGTACCACATCGGACTTTTGCTATATAAATGTTCATGCACATATACGTAAGAATGTATACATATGTGTATATTTATATGTATTGGATGTATATTGTGCGCGCACGCACACACGATAGCACATTAGAGGCAATTCACAATGAAGGAAACAAAAGACTTGCAGCCCCTCGAGATGGGACAGCTTTATAATTTCAATCTATAATAACCGCATACGAATGCCCTCAGCACCATCACGCAGGCTCTCAATTGTCTGGACCAGGTGGCGTTTATTTGTATATATTAACGAGCACATTTGCATTCGGTTCGGCTTCTGCTCTCCCACACACACACACACACACTCACACACGCGCTATTAAAATAATAGCATATACTGGGAGGCAATTGTTGACACATTGATCTTGAGCCGAATCAAGTCACTTCTCAGCTCGCGAGCCTGCTCCTAAACTTCTTTTGCCAACTTTCGTAATTAAAAAAGTTTCATTTTCATTGGCTTCAAGACAATTACGGGATTTGCTCTGAAGATTGTATCGATTCGAAAATTGGGAGTGAGTTGAATAAACTGGATCTTAAATATACTTAATATACAGATACAGATACAGATACAGATACAGATACAGATACAGATACAGATACAG